CATTTATAACTGAACCTACCGTTACTAGGCACAGAGTACCTCTTTTTTTTTTTACAACTCCTGCTTTACTTGTCCCTCAAGCGATAGGACCTAGCCACCATAGGCATAGCTGTAAAATCATGCTTCCTTTCATCACTTCATCTTCTTTCCCTACCAAAACAACCATGTAAACTAAACTATTTTCTCTATTCATTACCAAAACCAACATCAAATATAACATGCAAATGCATCATACATTAGGGATGCATTTTATTATTTATAACTTAAATTTCTTACTTTATCTTTTAGGAACCAAATCCAAAATTAAAATATAAAGACTGGGTATGGCTTTAATTCAGGATTAAGACTAATATTTATATATTTATATAATAAAAAAGAAATTATTTTACATTATGAAAATTAACACCAACATAGAAAGTTTTTTATCAACATTAAATTATAAGCGTTATTTGTTCAGAATATTATTATTTTGATGCGAGATCCTTAAAATTAGGGAAACGGTAAGAAACTGTTGTTGGAAACGTTCTAAATCACTCTGCACTAATAATAGGTCGGTTATTCTTTCTGTGTTCCTTTGACCTTTGAGATAGTAAGTTTCCTTCTACCTCCGCTTCTATTCTGGTTCGCAAAAATTTGTATCTTCATAAAAGTTTGTATTTTTTTTCTTCAAAAATTATTTATGTCGAGTTTGGTAGGTATAAAAATAAATTAATACGATAAAATTGTACTAGCAATAAAAAAAACATTTAACAAGTGTTTGGTTGAAAAAAATGAAGAATAAATTAAGAGAAAAAAATAATTTTTTACCACTTTAAAATATTTATTTCTTTTTTTTCGTTAAATGCTTTTTTTTTTCAAAATAAATTCATTTAAAAAAACTTACCCAAATAAATCAATTCTTACTTTAATTTTTAAACTACACCTATTTACTGTGCACGTTGAGAATTCATTTCAAGAATTTGACTCTCTAAAAACGGAATTCTCAACGCACCTACTCCGTACTGAAAACCGAACGAAATTTAATTCCTGAAAAGTTGATTTTTCTTGTCTAATTTAATTTTTTTAATTGTTTGTTAAAAATTTGGAAAAAAGGAGGAAAAGAAAATTTAGTGACAGTATTCACTATTGAGAATTCGGAATGTGTGAAGAGTAAACGAGTTTAGTTTAGAAATCAGATAGATTTATTTGGGTGATTTACTTTTTGAAATGGATATATTTTGAGAAACAAATTGTAAATAATTCATATTATTCCTATCATTAGAAAACTACTAAAGAAGGATTTATATATATAATAAGGGAAAGAAGAAAGGATAGAAAGAAAATAAGTAGTACCTGAGATAATTTATAAAGTTGAATCATAAGAGATAAATATATATTTATATATATTAAAAATAATAACTGAAAAGATAAATAAAAAAAAAATTTATCTTTCCGTAATAAAAGTGAGTTTTCATCTCTTCCTTTCTCCAAAAGCAAGGTAACTAATTATTATCTAATGCTTTCATTTATGTGATAAAAGTGAGTTTTTAAAATATTACTTTTAATGATAAATTAAACATAAAAAATAAACATTTTCAACATCACATATATTAAAAACTAAAAACTTGGGATGTAACAAACTTTTCATGAATGATTAAGAATAGGATATGCGTTCATACGGTGATGGGGGCACGATGCTTTTATTAACCACAAAATAGGGAATGCATTTACGTCTGAAAGAAAAGGGAGTTTTAACTTAAGCAACTTAATGTTTTTTAAAAAAGTAAAATGGCTTAATTGTATGAATAATGTGAATGAAATTGCGTATAAAGAAAATTATTGTTGGTTTCCAATGTTTGCTCCAAACTATAGCCTCTAGAATGAATGAACAATGATGTCTTAATTCGCATTTTGAGGCTAATTGTTTTGTTTCTTCATCCCAATTTAATAGTTTAGTTAGATGTCATTTCTTATTCAGTTATAGACAATAGTTAAACATTCCAAACCTACTTTTTCTTTATTTGTTATCATAGAATCATAAAAGGAAGGCTTTCCCACTTGATATCGCATTCTCTTTTGCATAAAACATTATTGTTATATAGCAGTGCTCTTTAACGTAGAGAATTGTTTAATCGTATTTATTAGGACCAAACTATACATGTATGAGTGTTGGTGTTTGCGTTTCGTTTTAGAATTGCTACTTTTTTTATTTTATTAAAGGTTCAATAAAAAGGACTTTCCCACTTTATTTGTGCGTAAAACATTCGTATCATATGTAACGTGCTCTTTCACGTAATTTATCAGTTGCAGTATAACTTTATCTTTTAGCTTTCTAAACTGCAACGTACGTTTATAAGAAATTTATCGTAGCCCCCGATAATTATTTTGTCTATGTTATTTACCCAAAGTTGTCTCATTTAAAAACTTTAATACTGGTAGCTTATGTGTCCAAATTTCACTTGAAATATATATGATGAACTAGAAGGGTAAAATAGTTAGAAAGAGAGGTCATTGAAATAAACCACCAAAGCCTTTTTTTTTTTCATACAAAGGAAAAAAAGAAGACTAGAACACTACCAGCGGGAAACCAGAAAAAGGCTAGTTTTCAATTCATAACGTGTGTAAAAGTTAAAAGAAAAAGTTAGATATATCAGTAAAAAAAGTGAATCACTTAATTCAATTCGATATATAAATTTGGACATCATATATTTTTGTATTTATGAAGAAAAGAAAAGATATTGGATGTGAAAATGTGATGCTCCTAAATTAATAATCCAACTATACTTTGAATGAATTGGTTATAAATACCAATTAAAAGCAAAAGCATAATTGGATAAGATGAGTTTTTCTTAACCAAATACATATGCATAAAAGCAAGGCTCAAATACTTGGGTTCTACAGTTTTTCCAATTAGAGATGGATAGAAAGAAAGGACAGGAAGAGAGTGAAGGATAATGTGCACATACATTCATGGGGGAAAGGGTCAGTCTAAGAGATGAGAAGAATCTGGGTGCAGAAGCATATGATTATACGATGATTTTGTGCTTGGCACCTATAGAACGTACAATAAAGAAAAACATGTGTGGGTAGAGATTTTGTGTCAACAACGAACAACAAATAACCTTGTACGATGAATGCTTTATTGTTATTGTCATGGGTTAAATTTGATGAGGATGAGAGTGTAGGGCACTGCCAAACGTGGAAACAGTGTATGAGGCTTATTGCTCTCGTCATAAACAGTGATTGTTTGAGCTGGTTTTGGAGGGGCTTCAATCAGGGACTCCATAGTGTTGGTGGGGCTCATTCAACCACTTAGGTAGGTATACATAACCATACACATGAACTAAACCCATGTTTTTGCGTCTCCTCTCCAGCCAAAACCATCTTCCAAACTAAACTACCTGCTGCCATTTCTAACCAAATTATTCCCAAGTTAAGAAACTACAATCCAAAACCAGCCATCAATATCTTCAACAACCAAATCTTTCCCATTAATGATCCACTCTATGCCTAAAACACAACAAAATAAACGACCATTTCATTACAAGAGTTTGATACCCTCCTAAAAAGTTAATTTTAAGACTAATTCAGCTTTATAAAATTTATTAGTATCAACAATCTTATCTCTATAATCTCCCGCACCCGTAAAGATTCATTTTCGCTTTGATCTCTCCAACTAAAATTCTAGCACTCCCTGATCTTATCTCGAGGAGACAGATTTTTGGCCACCATAGAGATTGATTTTGACAAGCCACCATACAAGAAGTGATGTGTTTGTTTTGTGGTTATTCACTGTTTCAGCTTTTGATCTTCCTGTAATACGATGGAGATTTTGTATTGTCTGCATTAACGGTGCATGGGTGTATTGATATTTTGAGAAGGAAAGATAGTGTGTTTTACATTATACACAGATCACCATTGTGCCATCATAAGTGCTTGGATTGGATTAGGTGTTTAATGGAAATTATCGACGTGTCTTGAGCTCACTCATTTTTTTGCCATATAATATTTAACATGTTTTTGTGATCATATGACAATTTCTTGAAACCTTCGGTGCTTCCTGTGTATAAGATAGATAATTTTTTCAATTGAATGGACTTCGTAATTAGTAAAATATTTTATGTGAAAATGGATAATGAATATAAAGTAAAAGAAATTAAAATTAGGCTATGAAAATATGAAAAGTAAAATTTATTTTTTCAAAGTCTTTAAAAATAGTTTTTGGGAGACCAGAAACCTATACTAATTTACTAAATACAAGGATTAGATTATTAAAGAGCGACTAAATCTAAAACTTATCAAATTTTTTTAGTGAATAAAAGAATTTTCACAAGAGAATAAAGCATATTTTAAAACCACTAAAATTTGTGACGTTAGATTTTCATACTTTTCCAGTTCAGTTTTTTTACATTATTAATGAATTAAAGCAATAAGGATAAATATTCTAAAATAATTATCACATAGGTTAAGAATTTCATCATACTATAATTGGACTGTGGAATAAAAATCTTCCCACCACTTGGTAAGGAAAACATAAAATATTAAACAGCTAATTCTACTTACAGCACATATATGCGTAAACAGGGTAAAAATACTATTTAATTAAAGATAGAGACAAAAAAGTTGAATAGAAAAGGAAGAGTAGAGAATTTGGATTCTTTTTTAATGTGTTGTTCTATTTCAAAATAGCTATTACGTTGACTACACAATTTGAGCACTCATTTTGGTGTAACTAACAGTTATTTTGATATTGTATTTATCTTAATTATTTATAGAGGGGTCGATGATTAGATGGTTAGACAAGTTGTAAATGGTGATACGTGTTGCATCACTGTTCACACATTTGTTTTTGAGGAAGTTTAGGTGCATGTATATAATTTAATAGAGAGGATTGGGTGCGAGGAAGACGAAAAGGAAGGGCCAAAAATGACAACATAAACATATGGTGTGCTAGAGTGTATCCAAAAAAACCTACCAGAAATTACCAAACTATCACTCTCTTTCTCGTAAATATGTTAAAGCACAAGTGACCTGGTCGTTATTGATTGTTGGCTTAACCGTCAAAGCATGTCCACCCAATAAGTTTAAAGTGTTCGTGCATGTTGATGATGATGAGGGAGGGGTAGGTTTTGAGACTACACAGTATCAGATACTAGACAATGACCATTTTATGGGGGTTACCAAACAGAGACGGTGAGAAGGGTAGGGGTCCATCCATGCTTCCATGTTTACCAGCAACTCACTGCCAGACAAATATGCCCCAGAGACTAATCATTAGCCCCACACCACAATGCTCATTATTATTTTTCATTTTAAACCACAAGATCAAATCTTGGGTAAAACTATTATCTCTCTCTATATAACATTGCCTTTCCTTCACCGCAGGCACACACACATGGGTTTGCCTTCGTAACATGTCACCTTCTTCCCAATCACCATTATTATAATAATTGCTCTTCCAACTGCTCGTGATTCCAAATACATAGTTACATACCCTGCCAAACATTTTATATATATTTGCTACGTATCTCGATGTTTCATTAGTCCCAGTTGGATCTAGTCCAATTATTATTCATCTAGTCTTAGAGGAGTGTCTCAGAAATGGCTAACCAGGAAAAGCAACACAAGAGAGGCTTCATGTACATCTACAAAGGTGGCATAGGAAATCAGAGGAAGAAAGAGTTGGAGCATGGTGTGGGGCAGGACAAGAAATCCAATTCACGCAGTTGGTTGCACAAGATTTCGAGAACTCGAGTTTTTAATGGTGGTGGTAATGGTAACAGAGACGTGGGAGGGGAAGAATTTGTGGAGGCGAGAAAATCAACTTCTTGTTTAGAGTTAGGATCACCTGCGGGAGGATTTGTCGAGGGGAGAAAATCAGTATCTTTCGTAGAGACAGCCGCATCACCCGCAGCAAGAGGAATCACGGTTGAAGATGGAAGAAAATCAGTGTCCCACATAGAGAAACACTTTGCGGTGGCGGAAATGGTCGAGGCACGAAAGTCCGTGTCCCACATCGAAACATTCTCCTCTGTGGCTGCCTATCTTCATGTAAAGGTTTTGGTCTCAGACATGCCGTCCTTCATGCAACTGCACGCGTTTCGTTGTGCGAGAAGTACATTCGATAGCTTGGAGAAGTTTAGCGCAAAACACATCGCTCATAACGTAAAGAAGGTACGCTTTGATTTTATCCTCCCATTTCAGTTCATCTGCATTCCTTAATCAAACACATTATCTTCTTTTTATCTACACGTAGATTTAGAAATTGTTTAATGACTTGTTTGATCTTATGATAGACTAACTTTAACCTTTTAATCTTATACTTACGTTAGGAGCAATTTATATACATATAATTTCTAATCTCTTTTAATTCATTTGAATTTAAATGGGGAAATTAAAAAAAAAATATTATGTGGACTAAAATATTAAAGTAATGTCCACGGATTTAAATAGATATTACTTTTAAAAATAAAAATAAAAAAGAAATATTTTGTACAAATTATATAAACTAAATAAACATTTAGAATATCTTTACAAATGTGGCGCCCATACCTTGGTATTGTTATTGAATAGAGTTTGAGGAGAAAACCTGAGAAGTGATTTGAGGTTATTTTTGTGGGTGTTCTTTTTGGGACTATGGTTGTTGGATGATTGAGAACGGTTGAAGTTGAATGAACCCCACAGAAAGAATTAATGGCGAAAACCGACTAGACGAATCATATGTTGACATTTTGTGTCTCTCTTAGTTTCTTGTTTATTGGATAGAAATAGAGTATTTGAATCTGGTCCTGGTCCAATAGCAAGCACCTGTGACAAATAGGCTAAAGTGGAGTCTCTTGTCAAGATAAAATCCTAATTACAAAGCTCCCCAACACCCCATGTGTCAAACCCTCGTACCCCTAATATTATACCTAATCATGGATTATTTTTGTCTTAAAAAGGTGCATTTTTCAATTAATGACTTATACAGAGCCTAACCCATGTGCAAATAGAGTTAGGGTTGGCTTGTTCGTATATTTGGTCAGCAAGATCTATAAAATATAGTGTTTCCTTCATCTACTTTTTTAACCGGTGATAAATTTGTTTGTTTTTTTATTTATTTATTTATTTACAATTTATTCCTGGTATGTTCATGTGCAGGAATTTGACAAAGGGTATGGTCCTGTCTGGCATTGCATTGTAGGCTCAAATTTTGGTTCATTCGTCACACATTCAACTGGCTGCTTTCTTTATTTTTCGATGGAAAATTTATATATTCTACTGTTCAAGACCAAAGTTAAGAAAGCTCTGGATTAAGGTACATATAATTTATACATATATGATTTAATTAGCAACACCACTTCTTATGCTACCAAAAATTTGTATTCAATATATTCAAATCAGATGCCTTGTCTGTAAATGAAAATTTACATGTAATCAAGCTTTATTCTTGCAAATGTTCTTGTCTTTTTTAGTTTTGCCTTTTGTTTTTAAGAAATTTGCCAAATTAGTTAACCTCTTGAATTTGGAATCTTACTAAACTGGGTTTCATTTTCTAGTTGACAGGAGAATGTAACCCCAACTCATTCCACAATATATATATTTTTGTAAGTAAACTATTTTTTTGTTAACCTTATCTGTCATTTTAGTGTACTTTATTTTTTCAAATATTTAAGTATTTTATGTAATAATATTTTTTAGTGTCTTATTATATTTAATGTTATATACCATAATTATTTATTTATTGCATAAAAAAGTATACCTACCTAGCACTATGAATCACATGGATTAAAAAATAAAAGAAGATGACAGACCGTTAAATTTATGAAATGTTATGGTCCCCCATCCAATCAAAGAAGGACTGATTAATGGCGATTGGATCCTACAGCTCATAATTGAACTGGATGATGTGCAGTTTTAAATCAAACAGTATTCATTCTCAGCATCAAATTTTTTCTTTTAAAAAATCATTATTGGAGTATCATACAGTACGTAATTTTTTTAACAGTGACCAGACAGAGCATCAAGTTATTTTTAAATTTAAAAATCAGAATTAACTGGACAAAGTCAATGATTTAAATATAAAAGAACAGGGGTTCAGTAATAATTAAATAAAATTATTTTGATTTTTAAAATTTCATATAACATAAACCAAACAAATTTTGCTAATAAATACTGGTGTTCCCTACTTGTAAGACATAGTATTTAAAACTGAATGCGAAATAAAATCAAATATTTTATACTATTTAATTCCAACATAATACATATAATATTTATTTACAAAATTACAATAGAAAAATGGATATAACCATCCATCTCAAAGTATTATATTAGACTTATATTAACCAATTATTATTGGTTAAATTTTTTAAGCAAAAATTATTTTTGGAAAAATAATCAGTCTGAACTTATGGTTGTTTTCTCTTATATTCATCCTTTTTAAAATAAATTTAACATATTTTATGCTCAATCTGCAAAACAGATTTTGAAAATTGACTAAACTCATTTTATGAGCAATTATATGTTGGACGGAAAGGTCCAATTCAATTATAACTCGGGTAAAATTAACTAAATTATATTAAATTATAATTAATCGTATTATAATAAACTAAAAAAAATTAAACTAGTTGATATAATATCCAAACTGTATTGTTTTATAGTTCAATTTTAAAAAATTGAATTTATATCAATTAACTAATAATTGAACTATACTATCCATTCAAACATAAGAACTTTAAACTGTGGAGTTGAGGATGATATTATTTAAAAGGTTTAAACATTTAGTTGTCCTTATTTATGTGTGATTTTCTCATATTTTGATCTTAGAATCCCCATTGAGTCCTTATAAGTGATAACGGGGTTAAGTTTTTGCACAGGTGGAAGGATGACTTGTTAATTTCTTTAAACGTGGCAGGTTTAGAGTTGAAACGTGGCATGGATTAGGCCTGCGTGAAATTATATAAAATGTAATAATATAAAATTAGGGAATTCTGAAATGGGATTTAGGGTTCAATCAAATTGAATTTTGGATCGTCAAGGAGCTCTCAGAATTCATCCTTAAACGCCTCGACAATAAAAGCCTCGTCGTCAAACAAGGTACGCATGCAACTTTTAATTTATCATTGTTATTACTATTCCCTGGAATATGAATATAAAATATATTGAAATTAGATTCTGATCATTGTGTTGGTTTGCATTTGACAGGCTTTGAGATTGATCAAGTATGCGGTTGGAAAGTGTGTTGTAGAGTTTAGAAGGGATATGCATAGACATTCATTGTTAATTCGGTATTTGTTACAATACAAGGGTCAATTGGATCCTCTGAAAGGCGATGCACTCAACAAGGCTGTTAGAGACACTGCTCAAGAGACTATCTCTGCTATATTTTCTGCAGATGATAACATCAGCAAGCCACCGTCTTCGGCTTCTGCTGATCTCAATAGACGGTCAAAGGGTTTGGGAACATCAACTATCAAGCTCCTTCTCAAGATAAGAAATCGTTTCTCAGTGATGTTGCGGATATTGGAAGTGCAACTATTAAGCAAGGACTCAGTGCCTTCACATAAGGCCATTCTTCGCTTCCCAAATTGAATCCCAAATTCAATTTGATTGAACCCTAAATCTCATTTCAGAATTCCTTAATTTTATATTATTACATTTTACATAATTTCACGCATAAAGGCCTAATCATTACATTTTACATAATTTCACGCATAAAGGCCTAATCCATGCTTCAACTCTAAACAAGCCACGTTTAAAGAAATTAACACGTCATCCTCCCACCTATGCAAAAACTTAACCCCGTTAACTAAATTTAACGGCAGGGGCTCAATTGATTCAAATTACCACTTATAAGGACTCAATTGGAGATTCTAATAAGAAAGGATCAAAATGGAAAAACCCCACATAAATAGGGACAACTAAAGGGTTTAAACCTATTTAAAATACTATTTATTTTATATTTAAAATAATAAAATGGTATATTGAAAGATATTGTTTTATATTTAAAATAACAAAATGGTATATTTAAAGATATTGTTTTATATTTAAAATAATAAAATAAATAGTATTTCAAGAAGAATATCTACTTTATTTGTCCAATTTCTTCACTGTCTTATTTGGTGAATAATTAAGATTATAAAAAAAATTAATATGAAGCACAATGAACTTTTAACATTTGGATTTAAGCACCAATTGAATTTGTTAAGTAAATTAACCTATAATTTAAATCCGAATTGACATTACAAATTGAAATTGTAATGTCTTGATCTTTATTAACATTGTAAACAATTATTTAAGTGCATAACCTTCCTATATTTACAGGAAATTTATAAAATGCATAACAACCAATAAATACTTCTCGTAAGTTTATAAAATGCATAACAATCAATAGAGTATGAGAAAACAATTATTTATGTAACTAATATAGCTGATAGCATGTTTAATCTTTCAATACAAAATTCAGTTTAGTTGAGTTATTAATTAATTGACATAAATTCAATTTTTAAAAATTGAACTCTTAAACAGTACAGTATAATTTAATTTATATAGTTTACTAAAAATATAATTAATTATAGTTTGGTACATATTAGTATAGTGTGCTCCCTAATAGTTATTATTATATTGTTTGCAATGGATGATTACTTGTAAAGGCTGTATTCTTGTATTGGACTTGATTTCTCATACATAAGTATAAGGAAAATAATAATAATAATTAATAAAGCAAATGGTTAATAATTCAAAATATTATTACCATAGAAAATTATTTATTTGCCATTCAAGTTCGGCATCATAATAAATATAATAAATTTATGTGTATTAAAATATTTTTTGTTATGAAAAAACAGTATGGGAGAATATATATATATATATATATATATATATATATATATTATCAAGGAATAAACTTTTTAATAAAGTAAATTATATAACTAATTAAAATAAAGTTAATTATAAAAATAGCTTATTTTATAAGTTTTTAATGTCATTTTATGTAGGTGTGGTCATGTGAATTTATTAAAAAAAATCAACTTTTCATTCTTGCTTATCTTAGGAGACAACTTTTATTTGTTTTATATTCTAACAAAGGCCTTATCATTCTCAATTTCCCCTCACCCTTATTAAATATTACTTTTATAGTACTGATGCAATTGTATAAATGTTTGCATGTTCAGAATAGTTATGTGAGTTATATGCATAATCATTGTTATAAATATATAAAAATAGTGACTCATTAATTTAAAGAAATATTAATGAAAATATGGAAAATATAATAATAGATAAATTAATAATATATTTTTATTATTGGGAAATATTTTTTAAAACTTTAAAATAAATTTATTATTTTTTTATGAGTAATTTTCACATTATAAAGATTCAAATATTACAAAATTATAAAAAAGAAAAAGAAGTTAGTTCCCCTAACCAATAACTTTTCTCAACTTGTATGCCACTCGAGACAAAATTATTAAAATAAATGAATAAAAATAAAATAAAAGTTAAAAATGAAAAGAAAATTGAAGAGAATATGCAAATAGTAAAATTAGTTTCAGGATCTTTTTGCAGGAAAATATGGTCTCATCAATGCACCAACTTATCAATGCACCAACTTTCTGAACCGTTGGATACATCTCGCCGCTCACCACCTACAGGGGACGGTAGAATATAATATTTTATTAAATCCAATTAATTAATTTATTTTCCTTGAAAAATTGCATTTACCTATAATGTACATTTACTTTTATTTTTTTTTAAATATATATCTAATTTTTTTATAGTTATTCATGTATTAAAATAATACATAAATATAACAATAAATTAATAAATTAAATCATACATCTTATAAACATTTATTTATTAATGTTCTTTGTGACATCCCAAATATATAGCAAATATATATGCAAAGACATCACCAATTTATAATATTAGAAAGCAGTTAAGAGATGTACTTAAAGTATTATAGGATTACAGTCTTCCAGAATTTACTAAGAAATTAAAACTTCAAGCACTAAAGTATTCCAAAATATGTCCAGAATTTGAAACTTAAAACATATCAAGGTTCTTCAAAATGACATAAGAGAACTAAGAATTCCTAGTGAGTCTAAGCTGCAACATCATCTTCATTTCTCTCCAATGTTGCCTCCAAAGAAACCTCATCTTCCTCTGCTCACATCCAAGTGGATGATCATTGCAAAAGAAAACACATACAACAAGCACACAAACAAGCAAGGGTGATCTAATTATATAAAAGCATGCATCATATCAAACACATAACATACAGGAGTTAACTTAAATCAAAGCAGTTTAAGGCATACATCCTAGCATGTTATCTTCTAGACTTGACTCGTCCGGACTTTAGAATGATAGTCGAGCTATGGCGGATCCTGCACTCGTGGTGACTTATGAAACTTTGATTCCCCACCCTGCCACACTCACGAGGTTAGCCTGTTCCG